CGGTTGGGAGCTTCTGACCCGCTTTGAAAAAGCTTCGGAGCCGCTTCAGAGATCTGGCCATAGGGCATAATGGGGAATAAATGAAATATCTGTAATTTCGATGTTTTTTGTCTGATTTGGATGAAATTTGCACGAATGGTAGCCTCTGAAGAGAGCACCTGTCCTAATCACGAACCTCCTTGGTAAAAGGCAGGTAGGAACAGGAGGCACCTGATAACCTCCAGCCACGGCACAGTCCGGGCTGGGGAAAGCCCAGACCTGCAAAATCTTTGAGTGGCCTGAGGCTTACTGGTTGCAGTGCAGTTGTGAGGGTGAGAACAGGGGCTACCATCCCTGCAGTTTTCATCCTGCTGCGCCTTAACACACACAGTGACACGTCACAAGTTTTGCTTGTAAGCACCTTGAGGTGCAGTTTCCCAGAAACCCCTGCACTTTTCTCCTTGAAACTTGGCAGGCTTCGTGGCCTGAGCAGGGGCCACCACCTCTGCAGTTTTCAGTCCACTGCGCCGTAACACACACAGGGTCATCCCCTGTACCTTTCAACTTGAAACTTGGCAGGCTTTGTGGCCTCACCAGGGGCTAGCATCCCTGCAGTTTTGACCCCCCTGTGTTGTAACACATACATGTGACATGAGTTTTGCGTTCAAGAATTTGGGGTGCAGATCCCCCTAAACCCCTGCACTCATCTTCTTGAAGCTTGGCAGGCTTCATGGCCTCACCAGGGGCTAGCATCCCTGCAGTTTTTACCCCCCTGTGTTGTAACACATACATGTGACATGAATTTAGCTTTCAGGAATTTGGGGTGCAGTTCCCCCCAAACCTTGCACCAATCTTCTTGAAGCTTGGCAGGACTCATGCTCTCAGCAGAGGCTAGCATCTCTGCAAGTTTCATCCAAATCAGACAAAAACCAACAAGGTTATAGATATTTCATTGATTCCCCATTATATCCTATGGCCAGATCTCTGAGGCGGCTCCAAAGCATCAGAGTCGCTTCAGCCAGATCGAAGTGGAAACTGGGTCCGGAGCTCCGGATCAGATCACTGCCATCCAAAGTGGCCGGATCTGGAGACAGATCGAATACCTGCCTACTCGCACAAGCCTTTTTTCTAGCACTTCGCTGCGAGGTCTCACTAAACCCATGGGTTGGGGAGGAAAGCAGATGCCAGCTCAGAAAAAATCCTGGATGCCCCATTTGTACTTGAGCAGCAGTACAGGGGCGCTGGCGGTCGGGACACCTCAGTTTTTTCCCTGCCTGTCACTGACTTGCTCTGTCACCTTTGTCTCAGCACCTTTGTTCCCTGGGCTGCACAGCTCATTTCTTCAGCCAGGCCGTCTGCACGGCCCACATATAGCACCTTGCATAGTCAGGCCCAGATTTCAGCTGAGTTTTCTAGGGGTTACTGTTGGTGTGGTCAAATACTCAGAGTGAAAGTGAAATGAAGGCTGTTGTTTCCTCCTTCCTTGTCTCATGTGACTGCCCGGAGCCTTTATCAGAGTACAGCACCGGGCACTGGGGAGGGCATCACACGGCTGGGAGACGGCACTGGGGCATCTGGCTGTGACTTCTGCTGCTGAAGACTCTGCCATTCCCTGCTAGGACCAGCCCTGGTGCTTGCCCTCAGGTAGGCTGCACCTCTCCTGGCTCTTCACCTCTGTCTCTGTCTCTGGGCTCCCCGGGACCAGGAGGGACAAGGAAGTAGAAGCCTGTCATGATTTGTCTTATCACCAGCCACGGCCCTGCCTGCTGCCTAGCTGAACCCCTCTGGGCTTGCCTGCTCCAGCTATGGGGGAATATTTTTGGCTTGAATTATTTTTTTTTGCTGGACTATATCCCGATTTGGTCAGAAGGGAAATCGCTGCGAGCAGAGCAGGAAAGTGGAGTTGCACAGGTGTCCCCTGACTAGCCAGTAGCCCTGGGGTAGGGGCTCCCCTGGGGTTTGAGGACACAGGTTTGAGTGCTGTTTTGTCTGTTGGTGTCCTCCCAGGGGGACGCCTGGTTGCTCCGGGGACGGGGGCTGCACTCTCTCCTGTTCCACTTGGATGAATAGCTGGTTCCTGTGCCCTGCGGGTACCCGCTCCCACAGGTTGCCATGGGTGCTGTGCCACTGCTAAGTGCTGGTGGGGGTGGGCATGGGGGTGCAGGTGGGAGCTAGGCAGGCCTCTCTCACCTGCACCCTCCTCCATCCCATGAGCAGGATGCTGCTGCTGCCTTGCCTCTTCCTAGCCTCCATTGTGGCAGCTCAAGGGCACCCGGACCCAACACTGGATGTGCACTGGGAGCTGTGGAAGAAGGCGTACGGCAAGTGGTACCGGCATCAGGTAGGGTGGGGGGGCGCAGTGTGGCAGGGACTGTCTTACCCCAGGGTGGGGGTGGGCATGGGCTGACCCTAAGGTGTGACCCTGCCCCCCCTCCCCTCCCCACCACACACACACACACACACACACACACACACACACACACACGCTTCTCCTCACTCTTGCAGCACATTGGCTTCAGCTTGGTCCTGCCAGAGCTGCTCTGTGGCCTTCAGTATAATTATGGCTCAGTCCCTGTAACACACCGCCCAGAAGTGGCTGTATTTCAAGGGTGGTGACAGGCCCTGTGTTAAGGCAGCAGTCGATTTCCCAGGAAAACTGTCTTGAGTGAGGCCTGAGAGCCAAGCGTCCAGGCTCCCTCTCGGGGGTAAAGCCACTGAAGAGTGTGGTTATGGGCAGGGCTTTGGGACAAAGCATAGGTTGTGCCTGTCACTAAAAAGGGTGTGGGCAAGCAACAGAGCAGCCCGCTGGTGTCTGCAATCCCCATCAGGAGTCACACGGCCAGCAGGAGGCTGCCTCATTTGGAAGACGGCACAGCTGTTAGGGATAAGACCAGGCCCTAAACAGTGGAGCCAGCAGTTTGCTGTAAGCAACCAAAGGGAGAACATTACCCCGCTGGAGCTGCTGCTCACATAACATCTTGGAGATTTAGGGCAGGAACCATAGGTGACGCATGGGGAGGGCATGGGGGGGCATGTGCCCCCCCCTGAGATTGGCCGCCGCCAAAGCTGCTGCCGGTTTCTGTGGGCAGTCACTGCTCGCCACCCTCCCCCCACCTCGCTGCCGACATGGCCAGTGGCATCTGCGAGCAGTCCCTGCTCACCACTCCCCACCACCACCACTGATGCCGCTGCCGGCATCTGTGGGTGGTCTTCGCTCACTGCCACCTCCACTGACACTGGTGGATGCGGGTGGTCTCCGCTCACTGCCAATGACACCAACGCCAGCGGCTGTGGGTGGTCCCCGCTTGCTGCTTGCCAACATGGTGCCCCCCTCCCCAGTCTTGGGAGGCACCAGTCATTCATGGCAGGAACTATGGGGATGGAGGAGGTCCCTGGGCCTGGCCCATAACCTAAAACTACACCCTGCTGGAGCTGGATGGTGTGGTGGGGCTGTCTCCAGGAAATGCCACACCTGTGCCACCCCAGTGAAGGGTGAGTATGGGGTGCCAGAAAGCCTCAGCCTCTGCTGCCTTGCAGGGGGAAGGCTAGGGGAGCACACCCAGAAATAAAAGCAAGGGCCCAGGCTTTTGGAGTGAGGCCTGAGGGGGGTCCAGGACAAAGAAGGGGGCCTGTGACAGGGCCCAGGTCCACAGTGAGGCCTGAGGCTCAAAAAGGATATCGGGATGATTGTGTGGAATTGAGAGCCCCAGTGTGGGGGCATGAACTTGAGTGTGGGATTGCAAGTCCTGACATGAGGCAAAAGGGATTGTGAGCCCCAGAGAGAGGGCACAGGAGTAAGGGTCCCAGTGTGAGAGCACAGGAGTGAGGGTCCCAGTATGGGGGCACTGGAGTGATATGGATGCCAGCTGCGAGGCATGGGATACGGTATAAGGGAAGGTTTGGAGCCATGTATATGCCCTTGGCCTCAAGGCAGTTAAATGGGCAGGCTCACACCTTGTTAACAACTTCCAACTGGTTTCATCAAAGGCGTGGCAGATGAGGCAGGTGGGCAGTTAGCCCAAGACGAGTGGGCAAGCCAACAACTAGACAGGCCCCGGGATGCCCACTTGTTACAGGCTTCCTCTGGGCGGACGCGTGATGGGCTCTGATTGCAGGAGGAGGAAGGGGCCCGGCGCGCAACCTGGGAGCAGAACCTGCGGCTTGTGACACTGCACAATTTGGAGCACTCGCTGGGAATGCACTCCTATGAGCTGGGCATGAACCACCTGGGGGACATGGTAGGTGCCACGTCCAAGCCATGCTGGGTGCATGGAGTAACCTCATCCCCTGGGGGCCAGTCAGCCCAGAATGTGACTGAGTCAGGGGTGGTGGGTCCCTTGGATCAGGGCGTGGACAGGGAACTCTAGTTGGGGCTGGTCCTGATTTGAGTAGGGGTTGGACTAGATGTGACCTCCTGAGGTCTCTTCAACCCTCATTTTCTATCATTCTGTGCTTCTATCTCCACCTCTGTGTCCTCATCGGCTCCTGGATTCTGATGCATCAAAGGCTGTGCTTTCATAGATAATAAAAGTGCAGCCAAAGAAAAGAATGGTTGCACTGTTTCCGAGATCCTGTGACTCTGGCATCTGGGACTGGGATGGAGCTGGACCCACAAGGGCAGGTGCCCCCGTAGGGGTGTGAGAACTCACCTGGGGTCCAGCCTCACTGGGTTTGTAACCACATTGTCCCAATGCCCGGTGCCAGTCTGTGCAACAAAGGGCCTGTCAATCTGTAAGGTGGGGTATACATGTGCTCCCACATGTGCATGTGTACACGTGTGTGGGGGGTGTTCTTGTGTCTATGGTTGTACATGTCTGTGTGTGTGTTTCTGTGTCCATGTGTATGTGGGGGGCATTCACATATATCTGTGTGTGTATGTGGGGGCACCTTCCTGTGTGCGTATGTGCACATGAGTCTGTGTGTATGCACTTGCCTGGAGGAGGTGATCACAAGGAGTGTTCACATGGCTGTGTGTGTTTCCTCGTGCGTTTTTTCCCCCAGACCAGCGAGGAGGTGGCTGCTTTGCTGACAGGAGACAGAGTTCCTCCCCAGCCGCACCGGAACGCCACCTACCTCCCGACACCGGGCAGCCACCTGCCAGATGCCGTGGACTGGCGGGACAAAGGCTGCGTCACAGATGTGAAGAACCAGGTAAGCAGCTCCCACGGTTCGCTCCTGATGTGGGCTTGTCCTGGCAGAGTCTAGGCCATGGATGATGCTCACAGCAGCAGCACTCACACCTGAAACCACACAGCTGCTGCAAAAGCTCCAGTCAGAGGCAATGGTTGCCGCACAGTTCTGACTGTTGTACTTTGATTGCTCCAACCTGAGCACATCTCTTGGGCTTTTCCAGGGGCCCTGCGGCTCCTGTTGGGCCTTCAGTGCTGTTGGGGCCCTGGAAGCCCAAGTGAAGCTGAAGACTGGGAAGCTGGTGTCCCTGAGTGCTCAGAACCTGGTCGACTGCTCCACCATGTACGGGAATCACGGCTGTGGTGGCGGATACAAAACTCAGGCCTTCCAGTACATCATTGACAACCACGGCATCGATTCAGACGGCGCCTACCCCTACACTGCCCAGGTGGGGCCCAGCCCCATGCCGGCATGGGTCAAGCAGAGGCTAGGGCGGAGGTTTCAAGACACATGGGACCCCTGCAATCCTCCCCTTTGATCCCCTGAATAATGCAAGGCATGCAGGCCCTCCTAGAAAGACTGATGTCTCTTAGTCCTGTTAATTCCCTCAGCACGTAGGGCAAGGGACGAAGTAGCCAGGCAGTGGCTCAAATGGTTAGAGCAGAGGAAACCATCGGTCGGGACTCCTGGCTTCTCATTGCAGCTCTGGGATGGGCGTGTTAGAGCATAAGATCTGGGTTTTAATCACAGCACAGAGCGGAGTATGGATGGTAGTGGTTAGAGCCGTGGGACTGGGAGTCAGGCCTCCTGGGTTCTCATGCCAGCTCTGAGCACTGATTGGACATCAGCGATTAGGGCAGAGATTGAGGAGTTGGGCAGCACAGAGGAAGAGGGTGGTGAGTAGGGCGAGTTGTTTGGGAGCTCCAAGGTGCCCTCCCTGCATCTGTTCCTTGCTGCTTCAGAATGGGACGTGCCACTACGACCCAGCCACGTGTGCCGCCACCTGCTCCAGGTACTTTCAGCTCCCATATGGCGATGAAGCAGCCCTGAGGGATGCCGTTGCCAACATTGGACCCATCTCGGTCTCCATAGATGCGACTCTGACTTCATTCTTCCTTTACAAATCAGGTGCAGTCTCTACCCCAGGCCGTCAGTGGTGCCTGCCATTTTGAAATGGGACCTTTGGTTTTCCGCAGCATATGTCTTTTAAACGTAAAGAGGCAGCAGTTGCCATTTTGTGCCCAGAGAGGCTAAAGCACGTTGTCAAGGTTACCCACCCCTGTACTCTTGCTAGAGAGGCATTTCTTCTTTTCTGGTCCCTTTTCTGTTTTGGTCTCTCTGAATAACCACAGAGCAAAAACCCTGAGAGTCAGAAAGGGGCCGTTTGCTCTTCCCCAAGGGAAACAATATATGGCCCCTTATTTTGATGGATTTAACCTACTACTGCTGAGGGGCGAAGATGGCTCTGGGGGTCATTTGGGAAGAGATGGCAGCGGACGGCAGCTTGCAGTCGGAGTGGGGTGGATCTTACCCAGTTCCATGCCGAGGGAATTTTCCCCTGAACAGATTATGGGGCTTTTAATTCAGTCACATGAGCAGCGCACAGCAGAGAAAGGATCCGTGCCCCA